AGTGACTGCACCAGTCTATACTCCCACCAACAGTGCAAAAGAGTTCCTTTTTCCCCGCAGCCTGTACACCATTTATTGTTGCTGGTTTTCTGGATCCTGACCATTCTTTCTGGAGTGAGATGGAATCTCAGTGTTGTTTTCATTTGCATTTCTCTAATGACCAATGATGCTGAACAATTTTTCATATATTTATTTACCATTTGTATTTCTTCAGCTGAGAATCGTGTATTCATCTCAGATGCCCATTTTTGGATTGGGTCTTTGAATTTCAGGGGTCTGATGTTTTTTAATTCTTTATAAGTTCTACACAGAAGTCCTTTGAGGGACAGTTGAGTAAGATTTTTTTCAAAGTTCATGGGTTTCAATTTTACGCTGCTGGAGATTTTTTTCGACAGCAAAAATTTTTTAATAAGACAAGATCCCAGTTACTGATGCTGGGAACTACTTCTCATGTGGTTTGATTTTTGTTCATGAATTCTGAACTCAGAATTGCCTTTGTTATTTTAGGTCTTTTCTGACTCCAAATAAATTTTAGAATGATTTTTTTAGATCTATGAGGTATGCTGGTGGTATTTTGATTGGAATTGCATTAAATCTGCATAACAATTTTGAGAGAATGACCATTTTCACAATATTTGTTCTTCCTATCATGAACAAGAAATGTCTTTATTTTCTGAGATTCTCTTCAATTTCTTTTTCAGGGTATTATAATTTTCCCTGAATAGATCTTTTACTTCTTTTGTTAGATTGATTCCTAAGTTTTTCTCTCTCTTTTTTTTTTTTTTTTTGGATGCTATTGGGAAGGCTGTGACTTCTCTTATTTCTCAGAGACTTTATTGTTTGTGTATAGAAATGCTATTGATTTTAGAGTGCTGACTTTGTATCCAGCTACAATACTGAATTTAGTTATAGTATCTAGGAGTCTTTCAATGGAGTTCTGGGGTCTTCTACGTAAAGTATCATGTCATCTGCAAATAATGATAATTTAACTTCTTCTTTTCCTATCCTTAATCCTTTTATTTCTCTCTCTTGTCTAATTGTTCTGGCTATTATTTCCAGCACCATATTGAATAGAAGTGGTGATAAAGAACAGTCTTGTGCTGCTCCTGATTTTAGAGTAAAGGCTCTCAGTTTTTGGCCATTTAATATGATGCTGGCTGTTGTTTGTCATAAATGGTGTCTTAGTTACTTTTTACTCATCACTGAGACAAAATACCTGAAGCCAAATGTTGGGAAAGGAAAGGTTTATTTCTTACAGTTTTTGGAGGTTTCAGTCCATACTCAGTTGGCTTCAAGGCAGGGTGGCATGGCTGGGCTGCAGTTCATAGTAGCTCCAAAAAACAAGGAGGAAACAGGCAAAAGAGCAAGACACACCTTCTTCCTGCCATTACATTACATCTTGGCTCTACCCCTAGGCCAGTGTAGCACTCACACCCCCAATCCAAGTGCTAGACAATGAACCAATCACTAATGCACAATGCAAATGCAGGAGGCTTGGGGGCCATTGACATAAACCAAGACAGATGGCTTTTATCATATTGAGGTAAACACCATCTATTCCGATTTTCTGTAGGGTTCTTATCATGAATGAGTACTGAACCTTATCAAAAGCTTTTTCTGCATCTATAGAAATGATCATGTGATTCTTGTTTTTGGCTCTATTGATATGGTGGATTAAATTTGTTGATTTGTGTATGTTGAACCATCCCTTCATTCCTGGGATGAATCCTACTTGGTCATGATTTGCTTCTTGATGATTTGCTGCATTCTGTTTGCTAGTATTTTATTGAGAATTTTTACATCTATGCTCATTAGAGAGATTGGCCTATTGTTCTCTTTTTTGATTGTGTCTTTCTCAGGTTTTGGTGTTAGAGTAATACTTGCTTCCAGAAAAGAGTTAGGGAGAAATGCTTCCCTTTCAATTTCACTGAAGAGTTTGAGGAGTGTTGTCATTAAATCTTCCTTGAATTTCTTGTACAATTCTGCAGTGAACCCATCTGGACCTGGGCTTTTCTTTGTTGATAAGGTTTTAATTACATTTTCAATTTCCTTATTTGAAATTGGATTATTCAGTAGTTTTACGTCTTCTTGATCCTGCTTTGGTAGTTGTATGTGTCTAGGAATCTGTCCATTTCTTCTGTGTTATCAAGCCTAGGAGAGTTTTCAAAGTAGGTATTGATGATCATCTGTATTTCTACAGGTCTGTAGTGATTTCACCCTTTTCATTCCTGATTGCATGAATTTGAGGGTTTTCTTCCTTTCTTAAATACCATTGACTATGGGCTTATCAATTTTATTTACTCTTTCAAAGAACCAATTCTTTGATTCGTGATTCTTTATACTGTTTTTTTAGTCTCTATTGTATTGATTTCTGCTCTGATCTTTATAATTTCCTCCCCTCCTTTGTCTTGGGCTTGACTTGCTCTTCTTTTTCTAGATGTTTGAGGTGTAGCATCAGGTAGTTTATTTGTGTTCGTTCTGTTTTCCTGATGTGGGAATTCACCACAATAAATTTTCCTCTGAGGACTGCTTTCATTGTATTCCACAGGTTCCAGTAAGTTATATTTGTATTTTCATTTGCTTGCAGATATTATTTAATTTCTTCTTTAATTTCCTCTGTGACCCACTGTGTGCTCAGGAGTGTATTATTTAAGTTTCATGTGTTTGTGGAATTGTTACATTTTCTTTTGTCATTAATTTCTAGTTTCATGGCACTATGATCCAATAACATACATGGGATAATTTCAATTCTTTTGCATTTACTTAAGCATGTCCTACTTTTTTTTTTGAAATTCAAGATTATTCTTATTGTTTTGTTTTACTTTATCTCTTAACAAGAAAAAAATTAGTAGTAGCAATGATAACAAAAAATACATTTTTTGCTTTTTTACTTTATAACATACTTCTCTCAGGTTAAAGCTTCATGATTCCACATTTTTCCTACCTTTCTCTGTGAGGATGTTTGTAACCCTCACTATTTGTTTTTTCTCTGCCTTTGTGTTTTGAAACTGCCCCAAAACCCTAGTCTTGAAAACTTCATTTATAATATGACCTATAGATCATAGTTTAGATGCTTAGTTAGCAGTTAGACCTCAAATAACAAGTGAACTTTGGCCAAACCCTCAAAAGCCTCCTCCCCTCCCTTATCTGGCCATAAAAACTATGGAAAGAGAAACAAACAGATTGATCTCAAGACAGGAAGCTGCCCAATGTCACACTTTGTGTCAATTAACCAGATGTGTAAAGAGAGTCTTTGTAACATTCTAAAGCAATGATAGTGCTGCAAAAGGTGATATCCATGGTAACCCCTGATCTTGTGAATTCATACAGGGATATAAAAGAGAAAGGGAACAAAGGAATAGGTGCCAGTCAGGCAGTTTCAAAGGCAAAAAAAGCTGACTGACCACAGCAGTTTGAAATAAACCTAACTTGTTTCTGAAAATTCAAGAGTCCCATAGGTGAATTCTGCAACATCTCTAAGATAAAGAACTTGCTCTGGTTTGGATCTGCTTTGTCCCAAAGTACATATGCTGCAGGTCTGGTCTTCAACATGCAGTGCTGAGAAAGTGGAACATCAGGAAGCAGGGACTTATGGGAGGACCTTAGTTCACTAGGGGTATTATCCCTGGAAGAGATTTAAATGGAATTCTTGTGGAACTCCAGTTAGTTCACAAAAGAGTGAACTAAAGAACCTGATTCCTGAACTGCTCACTAGCCTGCAGTCACTATATAACTGTTCTCACGATAGTCATGATGAGACCATCCACTATGTAAGGGCCCTCACCAGAGGATGAATTGAGAAAGCCACCAGCCCTTTAGAGTTCCAGCCTCCAAAACTGCAAGCTAATTAAACCTCTTTTATTTATAGACTACCCAGCCTTTGGTATTTTGTTAAACCACCAGGAAACAGGTATAATAAAATATAAACACATAACATAATAAAATGATATATTATATGATATAATATAACATTATCTGTATAAAGTAAATAATGTATTATATTTATAGATAAGCAAATCTAATCAAATATAAACATACATATACAAAACTTTTGTCTATTGTCAGTTTGCAACTAGTCAGCTTATATGAAAAAACCAAGGGTATTAATAATGGGTGAAAATGAAGAATATTGTTTGAAATCAGCCAACACAACTTCCTGAGACCAAAATGGAAAATGAGAACAGAGCAGACTCATAATATAAAGATAACAATTTCTCTGTCATCTGCAATAAACGACTTCTTTCTGAAACAAAAAGTTCCATAGGAACATGACAATGGATAAAACAGAGGTAGCTTCTGAAGTACTCTTCACTCATGATATTCACGCACTGTTACTAGTTATTATGTCTACATCCCAACCTTCATAGGATTTCCTTATGTATACAATGGTTTTACAAAGGAAATTCTCACAAGTAAAATATCCCAGGCAGACATTCATAATTACATACTTTCTATTTATGTTCCTTAATTATCTCAATGGTATGATAAATATGTGAGTAAAGGTAAATAGATTACTTTGTAGTACCCAAATAATGATCACATATAAATTAGTTTAAATAGAAACATATACTGCCTAAAGAACAGAACAATGTATTTTTTTTTTACATTATGTTAAAAAAAAGTCTAAGGAATCATATAAATGAACTGATAAAGGTACCATCCTTCTTCAAGTTTATTCAGGGCAAACAAAAACCACAAAGTTGTCCACTGACTATCATACAGTGCTGAAAACTAGCTATTATGTCCAGTTTTCAAGATTACTTCATGATTTTGGCAAGTTGTGTTTTCATGGTGCAAGCTATCAAATCTAGGCCCCAGTGTATGCCAGGAAAGCAGTCTACCGCTGAGCTACACCTTTATTATGATTTTAACTTAAGCAAATTCATGTCACAAAAAGATGTAAAAAGATTAATATCTAATTCTACTAGGACCAGTTCTGAACAGTATAAATATCTGCATCCACCTGTTTACCACACAAAGGGCACTTCAAAATCACTTGCCATTTCTGCGGGATGCCTTCTGCATGGCCATGGGTGGGCACAGCTGAGCAGGAACTGTGTCAGAAGAGGAAGAGCCTGTGTGATGAGCCTTTACTTTGTCAGCCCAGCTGACACCTGCAGAAGCCATACATGGAGTGACCACTGTGCCAGGTGAACTCCTAGAGAAAAAAAAGAAACACCACTAATAAACTAAATAGGAAAGTGAAATGTTAAATATGTATGAAACATACTAGATTTTTAATAGAAAATACTACTACCATAGCAAAGAAAGGAAACTAGATTCATGAACTTTTCCTGATTTAATCACTAATTTCATACAGCATTGTATAATATATGGGATATGGTAATAAAGATAGTATATGAGCTTTGTTTGGTGTTTCAGTGTCCCCTGGAAGTGCTAACTGGTACACAGCATCAACATGTCTTCTTTTTTGGGGAATAATAGCTGTGCTCAGCGTTCTGCTTAACACAACAACACATACATGGGTATTTTTATGTGAAATATTATGCTTTATAATATTATATTATCACAGAAAATAACTGACAGTAATACAAAACTTGGTAGTTTTTTGAGTTCAGCTCACCCAAAATTTAAGCTTCTTCGTGCATTTGAAGTTACATTTATTCTATCTGTTGATGGACTTGGAATCACATGACGCCCTGGAGACATCTTCTTTACTTCCCATGCAAGTGATGTTGGTCTGCCAATTCAAGACATATAGTATATTAAATTAACTGAGAAAAAGGAGAAACAAACTAACAATTTCTCTTGATAGGCAGTAAGTGAAAACATAATCGAGTCTCAATTTTTTCCTATAGCACTGCTTCAGAAAGTTACCATACTATTGATGAGAAATCACAGATGGTCCATGGTCTGAGATATGCTATAACAGGCACTTGGGGAAAGAGATCTACTTATCTCTAAAAGGTTATGGAGTCACCAAGACTTGAGGTACACTTTAGAATTTACAAACTCCACATACCCAGCTAAAATACATTAAAAGGCAAGTTTGATGCAAAAAGGATCCAGATACAAAGGGTAAGGGTTAAATGGAGAATACACAGGAAAATATGAAGTCAACTTCTTATCACATAATCGCCCATAAAACAGGGAACATAGTGATTTCATTGCTCTTTATCAGGAAAGCTAAAAATGCAACTTAACTTCTGTGCCCCATTACCACTGGCCCCATAAGCAATCACCCAACAGGATGAAGTCCCCAAAATGTCCCCTTGAGCAATGTCTTTTCTATTCCCATGCCCTCAGTCAGATCCTGTCACCACCATGGTCTCCCGTAGCTGATGCTACTCAGTTTGGTAAAAGCATTCTTCACTTCTCATTTAAAAAAGTGATATTTTTAAAAAACAAAATTCAGACAAAATATTATTCAAAAGCCTAAAGGTTTTGCCAATTTATTGCTAAATCATCTTTCAGAAATGTTATAACATACAATACTCTCACTGGATGAAGTGTTCATTTCCCTTCAACCTGGCCAAGAGTTGCTACTGTCTTTTAAAAACTGCTCTGGCAAATGGTATTACATTGCTTTCATTTTTTAATTATACATGTTTATTATCGTAACTTATCAGCAATTTGAATTTTGTCTTCTGGAATTTGCATACTGTTGTCTTTAACCCTTTTGCAATGGGAGTTGTACTACTTTCTAAAGAACTTGAAATAGTTGACTAGCATGCTATTATTATTATTATTATTATTATTATTATTATTATTATTATGGCTACATTCTGTTGACATTGAGGTTACAATTATTTTGTTTCCAATTTTGGGGGGATAGGGGGAACCAGGGATCAAACTGATGACCTTTTACAAGCCACTGAGCTAAATCCCCAGCCCTTCAATTGTTTTTATATAGAAAGGCTTGTTTTCTTCTTGTTAAATCAAATGAACCAATATTTTCCTTTGTAATTTCTACCTTTGTTTGATGATCCATAATGCAAATATATAAATACTTACCAATATTTACTTCTTAAAAATGAACAATTCTCATATTTAAATCTCAAATCAAGCTGAAATAAGTGTTTTACATGACTTAAAGTAAGACAAATAATGCCATCTACAGGAAATTTAAGGTTGTATTCCTTAAATTAGGTTGCATATTTTGGCACTGCCTCATGAGGCAGAGAAGAAATGCTGCTAACTAGTTCAGGTACCAAGAGATGTGTCAGGTTTATTTTTGAACCATGGTACCAGGACAAGGAAAGCCATCACTCTGTTAAGCTTAGACCTACTCTGAATTTTCTCAATACATTCTTGAATACAGCCACCACTGGCTGGCTGGAATTTGAAAGCATGATTTTCTTTAATTGGTTTATTCAAATGCCTTTAGTGTGTTACATTATAGATCCTCTTTAGTACCAAAAAACACACCTAGAAACCTAAATTAAACTAAAACTGAGAAGAAAAAGAAAAAAAGACTTATTGTAAAAATATAAAGTATAGCAAATTAGGGACTTCCAAAGGGAAAGAAAAGCTATAATCAGGGCTCAGGAGGATTAGAGCTGGAATAGACAGACAGTAAAGCAATACCCTTGAGCTCTTTATAATATATGATTTCTCTCATTTCTGCTTCTGTTTGTAAATCTGTTCCATTTTATTTCCACATACTTTGCTCTGCTTATTTTCACAGGGGCAATCCAGCTACAAGTCAAACAAATCAGTATACTAATCTTATTTAGTTTGACCCATTGAAAAAATGTACCCCTAGATCCAACTGGCAACTGCTAACTAATAAAGGTAAAACTGCTTGATATAAACCCACCCAGAGACTACAGATGAAGCAGACAATTAAAAAATTAAAACTTTTCATCATGTGAGAAACAAAAATATTTAAAAGATCAACACATATTTTCTCTGATTTTGGTTTCCAGGAGATCCAGCTCTCCTAGATTTGTCTCTAAGGAATTCTTTACACTTTTGGTTCCCTATTGGGACTAACATATTAAGATAAGATAAAAGATGACTTTTACTGCCTGGTTTCACCTACTGAAATTGAAGCAAAGTCAAATTCAAAATAAAGAGGCAGCTTAAGTCTATTTTCTCAGGATAAAAAGGCATTCTGTTCATGGCAGCAGCCTCATAATTTAAAGGGTGCTTCTAAAGACTCAACCTCTTTATACTATCATACTGGTGACTAAATTCCTTTAATTTTTATTTATGCATATTTGTAGCAGATAATGATTACTTTCATCATGGGGAGTTGGTACATGCACATAACAAATTTTAGATTTTTTTTTTAACTTCCCTTTCTCATCCCTCCCTCATACTCTCATCCTTATGCTCATATTTCAACATGAGAATTCTGGAGGGACATAATTAGACCACAGCACATACTAAATACTTCATGAGGGCAGGAATTGTGTTGGTCTACCGTGATCCCTGAGCCTGATGTATAGCACCCAGATACTACATGCAGATGTCAAATGAATCTTATTTTAAAAGAGCTTTTATCTCCCATTACTCTCCTAACCAAAAATCAATTTTTTTTATTGCCTGCCACAGAGGGAAGATATATTATTCCCTATTTATTTTTGATATACTATATCTTTCTCTACTTATTTTTACTTTACCACTGGTCAGCACTTACATACTGTAACCTATTCCCTTCCTTTGAAGGCCCGAACACTCAGTAAAATCCATCACATTTAAATACTTCTGCATCCTCGGTGAAATCTTCCAGTATCTATCCTCCAAAATAGAAATGTTCTTCTCTGAATATTCACAATAGTCTTATGTACTAATAAGTTTAATTTTATCATATCCTTAGACTACAAATTCCCAGAGGGTAGTAAATGTGCTGAATTTAACACTTAAATTGCTATCCTGAATAATGTATCTTGCAATGGCAGGGAACTGAAGAAGCATCTGTTACTGAACCAAATGAGAAATGCAGAACCAAACTTTGAAGTTTTCACATGTTTTAAGTCAATCTGAGGTTAAATTCTCTGTCAATTTCAATGATTACTATTGAAATTGCTGGTTACTAGGAGTACAGAGGTCATTACCTGCTTTGAGCATCTGTCTTCTCTAACTTCTCCTGAAGTTGAATCCAGTCAATCAGTGCTTTGAAATCTCTCACATAGTTATCCAGCATCATTAACACCTCCTAATTTAAACAAAAAAGTTAACTTACATTGTGAGAGTAAAACATTTCAAGTGGCTGATCTGGAGAAACACAGGCTGAGATGATAGCTATTGAAGTAAAATACAACTTAATGCTTATAGTGTTTAGTATTTCATTGACTTTGCCGACCTAAAGTCATCTACTTAGAAGATAACAATATGCAATGCAGCATCTATGGGGGATCTCCTTCTGAAGGTAGTAGCCATTGTTAATTTCCTAGGATCTTATTTTAAAGTCATGTATTATTTTCATTGTTTGGTTTAGTTTGATTTGATTCTGTTTTGTCCTGTTTGATTTTTTGTATCTGACAGCATGAGCAGCTATTTCAAAAATAACAAGATATATAATGGTAGCCATTTTGGATTTACTATAATCTTGCTTTGAAGTCTTATATTGCATTTATTGTTTTGTTTTTATTGGTTCTATTCTGTTCTGTTTTGTTTGATTTTACTATGTCTGATGATATTGACAGCTATTTTGAAGACAAGAGGCATTATGGTAATTATTATTATTTCCTATTATCTTGTTTTGAAATCCTGTTTCACACTGCTTTGATTGGCTTGTTTTATTTTGCTTGGTTTTATTCTCTTTAAAATAAAAATTATAAAAATGTTTCAAGAAAAAAACGATCACAGTGAAGGACTTATGTATTAAGTTTTACATTATACTTATTGAAGAGGCTGCCTAATGTACTGATCTAATTTTGCCCTTTTAGTTTTTTTCATTCCATTTGGTAAAACAATATGTTAGTTGCTGAAAAGATTAGCATTGAAAAGAAGCCATGTATTTTGCATGAGGACTATTGGATGCTCAAGAGGGAAAAATGGTAAGCTCTTTTGAAAGAGTTTATAGTCCCCACATTCCCTGCTAATTCAGGACTGCAAAAGCCTAGGAAGCATTTCCTTGAGATCAGCTATGTAGGCACTCTGAGGCACTGCAATTATGGTAAAAGGGGTCAGGCTACTACTCAAGCTGGCAACAGCCACTGGTGCCATCCATGTAGTGCCAATTCTTTAGGCTGCAGAATGCAAAGTATATGGGGTCATGGAGGCTGCCACCCACATTTCAGAAACAGGTCTAAGAGGCCATGTAAAAATGCATAACAAGGTCAAAGTCCTTGCCAGTAGCCCCTGAAAAGATAATACAAGAAGCCAAAAATATAGAAGACACCCCCAAGGAATTTGCAGATGCCAGTAATGTGAAATGTCTGCTAAAGAAAACAGCAAGCACTGGGCAGAGCCAGTCCATGAGGGCTGTGACCATCAAGGGTACACAGATAGAGACATAGAACTATACAGACATAGAACTATAGGATTTAATGTTTTCCCTGCTGGATTTCAGTTATGCTTTAATGTTTTCTCTGCTAGATTTCATCTATCCATCTATTCCTCCGTTTGGAATAGGAATCTTATTTTGTGCCATTACATATTAGACACACTTAATTTTCTTCTTTGATTTCTAAAGGGGCTCATAGTCAAAAGTTTGCCTAGAGTCTCAGAGAAGACTGAATTTATGCTTTTCAGCAATGCTGAAACTGTTAAGACTTTGCCAACTCTTAACATGGACTAAATACATTTTGCATAATGAGATGGAACTGGGCCTTTTACAGATCAAGGGCAGAATGTTATGGTTTAGATCTAAAATGATCCCCAAATGTGTTTAGAGGAGTTTTTGAAAGTTGATTAGATCATGGGGCATGACATACATCAGTACATTTATCTATTGGTAAGTTCATAGGCAAATGTGCTATTAGGAGGTAGGGTCTGGTTAGAAGTTGGTCACTGGGAACATGACTTGATGAGTGTATTTTATTCCCTACTTCTTTCTTCTTTGTCTGCTTCCTGGCTGCCATGGAGCAAGTAACTATCTTCCACTAGGCCCTTTTACCATACCAACTCTGTCTTGGTGCCAGTCAACCATAGTCTGAACTCACTGGAAATTAGGAGCCAAACAAACCTCTCTTCTTTTAAGGTGTTGGTGTCAGGTATTTTGTCCCACTGACAGGAAAGTGACTTACACAATATGTAACTAAGTTTAAAAACACAATGCTGTACTAAGCTCTAAAAAATATGATATACTTAGATATAAATCAAGCAAAATATGTACAAGACCTACATCAAGACAATAAAAATTAAATAAATTGAGAGCTGGACATCATGGCACACCTCTGTAATAAAAGCATTTGGGAGGTTGAGACAGAAGAGTTGCCATGAGTTTGAGGCCAGCCTTAATCACACGTGAGGCCTTGTCTCAAAAAGAAAACAAAAGCAAAAAGAGAGAAAATGGTCCATGTTCGTAGAGAAAAAGACTTAACACTTACTAAGATATTAGTTCTTGATGTTGATAATTCTAAAAGACATAACCCTAAACATCATAACCCTGAACACTGAAAGTCCCAAATAAAATTGCCAAAATCACAATCCTAAATATTTAAAAATCACAAATACTCAAATTCTGAAATCTGAAATCTTGAAAAATCACAGTTCTAATTTTGCTGTCTATGTAAGAGTGTTAGGGAGTCAGCCAGGAATAGATGGTGTGTTATATTAACAACACAAACTTCTGTTTAAAGATAATTTGTCTGCATTGGCATTCCTTCCAGCTGATGGAATTCTAAGAGTTTTCAATGAATTATTTAGCCACATTTTCCTAAAAAAACCAAAGAAGTTACTGGCTGCTTCAAAAATAACTAAGTGCACAGTAGGATAAAAAGATACAATACAGTGGTGTTGCTGTTCAATCAGTAGTAGTATTTCTGTCAAAAATGTGGTCTCTATGTGAATGTGTGCAGAACAGATTTACAAGTACCCAAAATAACATAGAAGCATGGCACAGAAGGTGGGAAAATTTAATAGGAAACGTTTATGTCAGTGTATATATTACATCATAGAAGAATTAAAAAGAGCAGTACCATGTTAAAAAAAAAATGGGTGCCGAGGAGAGTCATGCCCTAAAAGAAAACTCATCACAAAGAACAATTTCACAATCTGGTTAAAGATCATGACAGTGAGCCACCTTCTGTACACTACATACCTCCCTGCAAATACCAATAATCTGCTAGTCCCTGTAATATACTTTTTCTTATCGAAATTTCTAATTTTTTCTTTTGCTTTTTTCTATTTCTTTTTTCCATTCTCATTACTTTAAACAATCCCTATTATTTTTTACAATTCATTATGGTATATATACATTTTCTCTTTGCATCATTTCCAATGCTGGGGGGATAAAATGTATAAAAATATTTACAGACTTCTAACACATTTTACTATTTTCTGCAAATTCATCTCCACTGAAATGCATTATCACAATGCTGACTTTGTGTGTAAGCACTGTCTTTTTACATCAAAATGTTGAAACTGCCTCAGTAAATGAAAAGAAATTCTTTTTTGTGGACATGTATTTGTGAAAGATAAAATTTCTGAAGCTCTTAAACTTTCTGGGTGACAATATACGTAATAGTGACACAATGATTTTTGGTTACTTTGATTGTTTCTCAATCACAGAATTTCAGTTGACAACAGTAAGAAAGTTAGGTGAAAATAATTACTATCAACAGTAATACATAATTATACAATTCACTTTTCGAACTATTTCTTTGGGAATACCATACATCTATTCATAACTGTTATGCATACACAACTGTCATGACAATACCCAAGTGCTATGCTTGCAAAGTATGCGTTTTATTTTTGCCTATTTAATTCTGTAAAGTAACCTATGAAGTGTTCACTCATATTTTTGTTTCTCAAAGAAATTTCCTTTTTAAAATGAGAATGACTGTATTTTTAAAATTTTTTTAAATTCTTTCTCCTAGAATTAAACCATCAGGATTTTGATCTTTCTAGATTTTAGATTTTACAGATTTTGATCTTCTGGGGTTTCTTTCTTTCCCCTTTTGAGGCAGGGTCTCACTGTGTCTCACTGTGTAGCACAGGCTGGCCTCAAACTCCCAGTGGTCTTCCTGTCTCAGCCTCCCAAGTGCTAGGATTACAGGCATGCACCATCATGCCCAGCTCTTGTGTGATTTCAGCACTGGAGACTATGGCCTTTGAGATTTTGTCTTCCAGTAATACAGTCCATACCCATAAGTTCCTCCCAACTCATAAGAGATTCAATGCAATCTCAATCAAAATTTCAAGTAGTTATTTTGTAAATATCAACAAACTGATTCTAAAGTGTATATGCCTATGCAAATATTAGCCAACACTATTTTAAAAAAGAACAAGCTTTGTAAACAAACACAACCCAACATCAAGATATATTATAAAAATACAGCAAGAAATATGGTACTAGTAAATGAATAGACAAATGCATCAAAGAAACAGAACAGAGCTCCAAAACAAACCCACATAAATATAGTCAATTAATCTTTTCAAAGTAACTAAGCCAATACAATGGAGGAAAGAAGGTCTTTTCAACAAATGGACATCCACTGTGACATGCTTACTGGGTTTCTGTCAGCTTGAACCATCAATGTCATTAGGACAGTCCATTACTGTTCTAGCTACTGTACCACCCTAATGGGATTGTCTCATGCTGCCTGATGGGATAGTCATGAATTAACCAGAGTCACTCTACAATGAGACATATGGATTAGGCCCATCATGAACATGTTAACTATCAACTTGATTGGCTTGAGAATCACGTAGGAAATTAGTAGCACATTTCTAGTTGTGTCTGGCTGGATGATAGCAGTGTGACCTGGGGATCTTTAGCTTGTGCCCTTTTCTCTCTGGCAGTCTTTCCAACCTGCTCTGCTTCCCAGACACCCAAGAAGTAAGTAGCATTGATCCACTATGCCCTTCTTCTCTGGAGAAAGTTTCTTCCCTGGAGTTAACTGACCTCGACTGAACTCTCTAAAACCATGAGCTAAATAAAATCTCTTCTCCTTTAAATTGGGAATTTTGGGAATGTTGGGAATTTTGTCCCAACAATGGAAAATCTAACCAATACATCCACATACAAAAATTTAATCTAGACAC